AGAAAAAATTACTAATCGCACGGTAGAGGAAACTACTTCGATAGCACCTGCGTCTATGTTTTAAAAGGTGATGGATTGAAACTTGGGAAGAAACTTTTCATCTTTAAAAGTTCCTAAACTTTTTCCCCCTAGTTTTACAATTCTATAACTAATCGTAAATTCTAGTAAGAAACCACGGAGGATAGATACCAGGAGTCCGAACGTAATGTTAAAAGAATGGTATCAATTTATGGGACAAGATATTTTGTCGGTAGGGCGCGCTGCTTTTCACAGAATACTCTTTTAAATATTATCGCAGGAAGTCTTGTTGTTATTGACAATTCTGAAAAAAAATATTTTGAGAAACGTGGAATTAAATAAAAGTTTAAGGAAATTTTTAGAAACCTTAAACGTTTTCAACTCAGCAATATCAAGAAGTTTAAGAGATAATCTGCAAAGTTAAAAACATCTGATATTAATAAATCATAATACAAAAATCAGTAGGCACCAAACCATTTTGTTTAAAAAAAATAGATTTATGCGAAGAAAAATTCTAAGAAATTGAGTTTATAGTTCATTTTTAACTTTTCCATGTAAAACTATTACAAATTGTCTCTATGAAAATTTACTAGAAAAAATATTTTTAAAAATTGTCAAATGCCTATTTACTCAAGTATCACGATAAATATACTTAAAAAAAAAAAAAAAAAAATAATAAATAAGTTATTGTCAAACATATTATTTGTTAATAGTACAAATAAAACATATTTAATATTTACAAACCAAATCATTATAGTTTTAAGAGTATCCAGAATATTGCTTTCGTAATCGAGAATTTTAAATTATTTTTTAAATTAGAGTGATTAATTTTTTTATTAATGTTAAATATGAGTTAAAATAATTTCGAATTTTTTCGAGATTTTTTAGATTTAATTGTTCTCTCCGTAGAACTTTTATTAAAACATTTGACAAGAAAATGCCCCTGCATTATTGAAAAATTGTTAATAATTTTTTTTGTTAATTCTTTCTTATGCTCATCAAAGCCAACAAAAATCGAGATATTCCTTTTAGAAACATCATCTAATATTTCAAACATTGTGTCAATCTTTACTGTTTTTGTACCAACCACCATTAACACAACTTCTTCTAAACTTTTAATTAAATTAAATAACTGTTCACTTGGGTAAATCAATGCACCTTTTATATTCTAAAAAAAATAAATTAATATATTATATTTAATTTAAATGTAATAATAATAATAGTATCGGTACGCTCCGAATACTTGCACTGCTAGTGGCAAAAAAGAGAACTATGATCAGGGTCAAGAAATGACTACCACAAAAACTGGGAAAAATCCTATATCGTTCGAACTCCTAGTTTCTATCCTCCGTGTAAGAAACTTTCTATCTTTAAAAGTTCCTAAGCTCACTTTTAATTTTATGATTCGTAACTAATCGTACCTTCTAGTAAGAAACTTTCCATCTTTAAAAGTTCCTAACCTCACTTTTAATTTTACGGTTCTTAACTAATCGTAACTTTTAGTAAGAAACTTTCCGTCATTAAGAGTTCCTAATCTCACTTTTAATTTTATGATTTTTAACTAATTGTAAAATCTAGAATGAAGTGAGAAATATTACCTATTTCTGTAATATTGTCTGACGCGTCAGGTGGATTATCCACAGTCTCCGTATATTCGAGCCTACGTTCAACGTTCTTCTCACTCATTGTTTCTTTGCTCACGTCTTCTACGTATAAGCCTTATGAAACAAAT